CTTTCTTGTCAAGGATTTAAGTACGGGGGTATTCTTGGTCCGCGGCTAGAATAAGGACAACATTTACGAGTGGTCATCAGTTTCACAAATCACCCAATCCACTGCCTACTCGTATGTCGCAACTCGATTTGTGACATCGTTGTCTGGTCATCCCTCATCCTCTATTCAGCAAAAACTCTCGTTATTCTCTTCCTACGCTTACATCTAATAGCATTTATCACTCATTGTGATGCTTGTTAAAGTAATAAAAGTCATAAACTTCCTTTTGGAATATCCTCTATTCTAAACCTTTTAAAGTAATTTATACTAATGTTTGGGCCCTTGTCCCAATCACTTCTTTTGATAAGTTCAGATTTTATGTTATTTTCGTAGACTATTTCACCAAATACACATGGTTATACCCTCTCCACCATAAATCTAACGCTTCAACAATCTTTACCAACTTTAAAAAATTGGTCGAGAACTTCTTTCAGTCTACAATTAAAACATATGGTGGTGACGAATATCAAGCTCTCACATCCTGCCTCTCTACTTATAGTATACAACACCTTAAGTTGCCCCCATATACTCCTCAATTTGTTGGCTCTGCTGAAGACAAACATCGCTATACAGTTGAAACTGGTCTCACACTCTTACATTAAGTTTCCATGCCATCAACTTTTTAGACTACAGCATTTCAAGCTATCATTTACCTTATCAATCGTATGCTCACTTCAGTCTTCCAATATGAGTCACCATTTGAAAAACTATTTCACAAATCCCCTAACCTTCATAAACTCAACGTGTTCGACTGTTTATGTTATCCATGGCTCCGTCCCTATGCCTCACATAAGATAACACCAAAATTTAAGTCTTGCATTTTTATTGGTTACTCTCTTATATATAATGCATTTAAATGCTACGAACCCCAATCTCAAAAATCTTTATATTCCGGCATGTTATTTTTATAGAGACTATCTTTTCATTTCAAAATCCTAAGTCTCATGCTGTACGACCTACTCCCACAAATATACATCACTAGAGTACACCGTCGATCCCGTCAACCAAGTCTCCCACAACACTATCCAATTCTTCTCCTCCAGATCCACACTCTCTTCTTCTCCCGGTTTAACAGCTTCTCACCCTTATTCTTGGAAACACAACCATTACCTTTATCCTCTCTTGGGACTAATGACACCGACGTCCCTCAGCATACCTCAACCAATGCCAATGCGTCTCCACCGCTCATACCTACAACACATCATATAGTCTTTGGACATCCAATGACAACACGCTCCAAAAGTGGTATCTTTAAACCACGACGAGTCCTTGACCTATATGCTATCACAAAATCCTCGTTAGAGGTCACGCTCCAAAAGTGGTATCTTTAAACCACGACGAGTCCTTGACCTATATGCTATCACAAAATCCTCGTTAGAGGTCACTGAACCTACCATAATTAATCAAGTCCAAAAATCTCTATACTGGCGTAAAGCCATGTGTGAAGAATATGATGCCCTCATCCATAATTCTACATGGTTCCTCTCTCATCCCATACAAAATATCATCGGATGTAAGTGGGTCTTTCGAATTAAGCAGAGCCCTTATGGATCCATTGCCAGATATAAAGCACATCTAGTGGCCAAAGGGTTTTATCAACGGTTTGGTGTTGACTTTACAAAGACATTTAGTCCCATTGTTAAACCCACAATAATCCGACTTATTCTGAGTTTGGCATCTCATAAGGTTGACATTTATGACAACTCGATGTTAACAATGTCTTTTTACAGGGAACCCTCACTGATGATGTCTTTATGCAGTAACCTCCTGGCTTCATCCACCCTCAGTATCCAAGGCATGTTTGTAAACTACAAAAAGCTATTGATGGATTTCGTCAAGCTCCATGAGCTTGGTACACCGAACTTGGCTCATTTTTGACATCAATTGGCTTCATCAACTCCAAGTCTGATATCTCGCTATTTCTCTGTCACCAAAGTGATAATATAATATATCTTCTGATATATGTGGATGATATTAATGTCACGGGCAACAATCCTATGGAAATTAAGACATTCTTCAAGCATTTAACAGATCGATTCTCCCTTAAAGATTTAGGACTCTTGAGCTATTTTTTGGGAGTGGAAGCAACATACACGTCTTTGGGACTCTTCCTATCACAAATAAAATATATTCAAGATCTATTATCAAAGACGAACATGTAAGACGACAAAGTAGTTACAACTCCTCTGTCGACTAGCGAGTCACTCAAACTATATGATAGAAGCTCTGCTACGGATCCAACTCAATACCAACAAGTACTTGGCTCCTTACAATACTTATCTCTCACCCGCCTTGATATCTCATTTATGGTCAATAAATTATCACAATTTATGCATCGACCATTTACAATGCATTGGTCTGTAGTTAAAAGAATCTTGTGATATCTTCACGGGACCCTCAATCATGGTCTCTTTTTCTGTAAACACTCACCCCTTCATCTTCATGCCTTTGTTGACGCTGATTGGGTAGGGAACTTTGATGACAGAACATTCACATCAGGATATATTATCTTTCCTGGAGCTAATCAAATCACTTGGAGTTCTAAGAAGCAAAAAATAGTTACACGATCTACAACTGAAGCTGAATACCATGATATTACAACCGCTACTACAAAACTCAATTGGGTCACGAATCTACTCAAAGAACTTGACATCACCTCCACCTCTACTCCTACAATATATTGTGATAATGTTGGAACCACTTACCTATGCATCAATCCAGTATTCCACTCACGCATGAAGCACATAACCATCGACTTTCACTTCGTACGAGAACAAGTTGTCAAACATCAACTACGTATTTCTCACGTACATACGACTGATCAACTAGCAGACTCATTCACGAAGCCTCTTGCCCGTAAACTATTTTCCTCACATTAGTCCAAGATCGATCCTTGATAGGAGCACCATCTTGCAGGAGCATGATAGCAGCTAAGATTTTCCATGATAGCTGCTGAGATTTCTTCAACTACATGAGCAAATATCACTACTATGTTGAGAAAAATTATTTTCTCCTTAACTGTATAAAAGAGGGTACCATATCAAATATATATTATCTTTCTTCGTTTCATTCTTATTTTTAACAGTTTCATTCTTATTTTTAATAATTTTTGCAACTGCTTGGATACTTGACTTAGTGCTTTCTCTTTTGTGGCATTATAGTTCCCAACTGCATCTTGATAACTGGATTGTTATGCATGATTATTTGTGTTACTGAATTTGATACCTGACTTATCAATATCTGTGCACGATACATGAAGCACCTATTCGATAAATGGCAGATATCAATGAACACCCTATTTGGATCTTGTAGCTTTCTCCAATAATTTACTGTGAACTAGTTATCATTGCCGAGCCAATAAATTTGTTCTTGACTTTATTAGATAAATTGGCACTTAGCCTTGAACTAACACATGCCTTAAAGATGTTTATGTGTTATTTTCATATTAATGTTTATGAAGTTGTTTTCTCTGTGGTCACTATTTCATGTGTTTCACGTCTGTGGGTCCACATCTTCTGACTAATTCTCTGAAAGGAGAACCTGAACTACTTTCAACTCCAGTAATATTAAAAGTCTCTTTCAATTTCTTCCTATTCATTCTGCTTCTGCATTTTCTATTACTTGGTTTAGTTTATTTCTGCATTTTATAATCCATCTAACTAGTAGGCAATCTGCACTATCGCTTTTGACAAATGTTGTTATATTCTGTGTTCCTGGAACTTGCCTTCACTACCATGACTTGCGCTAAAAGATACAGCGTATCCATGGAAACATTTTGGCCCACATTCATCCCCTCATCAGGTGTATTTTGTTCTATAGGTTTTACCAGAACATCTCAGATATAGGGATGCACTTTAATCGGTAAGTTTGACTCCATTTTAGTAGATTCTCAGCTGGAAGTCCAGATGAACGTGTTTAACAAATGAACTCTTTTTGCCTGACATGTTGATGGTCCAAGTGTTGTGCTGCACAGATCTTTGTTTTAATCTGTCTCCAGAGAGAGCTGCTGCCTAAATCTTCCAAGTTAAAAAACGATGAACTGCTCAGAGATGGCGCCTGATACCATTTGGCTATTAGTTATTGTGCTTGATGGTTGGGAAATTTTGTCAGAGTTCATCTTGCTTCTTCAATTACAGGCTCAAAAACTCAAGACAGCATCGAGAACTACCATCTGCTAATTAGGCCTCTCGCACACCAGCAATATTAACTGATTCTACTCATTAGAGTGGACGAGGTAATCGATACACGGCAGACAGAGATCCTCTATCTCCAAGGAACTCGCGATGAACATGGGACAGAGGAAATCCTGTCACAGAAAATAGAGCTCAGTTGTGTGCATCAGATCTTATGCTTATATTTGGACCTATAAAAAGAGATAAGTGCATTATACGTCAGTGAATTAAGTTTTCTTTTTTCATCTTATGTGTGAGTAATGCGAGATCAGATGTATGGAGGTATGACATCTTCATCCTAAGAGTTTACTCGAGTCAGATAAAATAAGAATATTTATTCTGATTATTATTTTTTAAAAATAATCATGGTTCCTCCTCCTAAATTAATATGTGATGGGCAATGGATAACGTAGCCAGCGAGCCATCAACGAAGCCGACCCACACTGCGTTACACAACGAGTCAGTTGAGACGTGCTCATGATCCGGGTGCGGCTCTCGCGCACGCTGTCCACCGAGAGGCCGCGCGAGCAGGGCCCAGGCGCTTGGGAACCGGCTACCTGCTCCACCGGCATCAGGCGCAAGTCTCGCGCGCGAGGTCAATCGATTGCACGAGGCCAGGCGTGAAGCCCGCGCACGCGAGGTCTCATCTCATGGCTTTCTCCTCCGTTTGGCTGTCACATTCATCGCCGTAACAAGTTGAGAACAAGCCAATTTCTCGAAGCGATTCGTTCAGTTAAGACTGCTGTATAAACAGCACCAGTCGTCTCCTCTTCAGCTATATAAAGCAGCAGTCTCTACCTGTCCACGCGCCATCACCTCTTCCTCCCTAGGCAAGTATGGAGTGCCACAGAAACTCTGCCACCACAACTGGTTCCTTGAGCTGCCTGTGTGTGCTCCTCCTGCTGTTTAGCGTCCATTTGAAAGCCTGTAATGGAGCAAGAGTGGCTCCTCAAGACTCAAAGAGCACAGAGTTCATAAGAGCCTCTTGTGCCGCCACCATGTACCCGGACCTCTGCTTCAGCTCCCTCTCGTCCTACGCCAGCACCATCCGGACCAGCCCCGTGCAGCTCGCTGACGTCGCCCTCTCCGTCAGCCTCGCCGGCGCCCGCTCCGCCTCGGCCGCAATGTCGAGGTCGATCGCCGGCCGGGGCATGGCGCCGCGCGTGGCGGCCGCAGTGAAGGACTGCCTGGAGACCATGGGAGACTCGGTGGACGAGCTCCGGGAGTCGCTGGCGGCCATGGGGCACGTGGCGGGGCGCAATGCGGCGTACCAGATCAACAGCATCCAGACGTGGGTGAGCGCGGCGCTCACCGACGAGGACACCTGCGTCGACGGGTTCGCCAGCGGCGCCATGGACGGCGAGGTCAAGAACATGGTGAGAAGCCACGTCGTGTACGTGGCGCAGCTGTCGAGCAACGCGCTCGCCCTCGTCAATGGCCTTGCCACCTCCATCTCCCGCCCTTGATGCCAATGAGGGAGCACATATGGCTTGCTGAGAAAGACAAATAGTATGACTTGGTTTGACTATATATATATATATATATATTCAAAATGTTGTCATGTCCAGGGATCATGAGAACGTATTGGATGTCAGGAAAAAAGATTATATTCGATGAGTTCTGCAATTATATATGTTTATTAAAATAAAAAGGATTATTAGATTAATGTAGATAACTTAATTATATGTATATTCCCGTAGTGAAATAACAAAATATCTAAATATAGTATAGTTAAAAGCAAGATATAGACAAAAGTACAAATACATGATGAATATATATTTATGTACATTGATTTTTTTGAGCTGAAACGTTGATTTTTTAGGGTAGCACGTATGAGTGCGAAGTGTGGAAACAACGTATTTATCATTATAAATTTTAATATTATACATCCCTCCAAATGTTAGAATATAAACCTTTAAAGTTTGTGTTTTTGTTCCTATTTGTTATAGATGTTTTCTTTTCCCAAAAGTCAACTTTTGGTGACCTTCTTAGATTAGTGGTAGAGCGTTTGTGATCATTTCCAAAAGTCAATTATTGGTGAACTTTGTGTAAATGGTAAATCCTTTGTGATCAATAAAAAACCCACAAAGGTTTCCACAAATATTATATTATATATATATATATATATATATATAATTCTAAAAATAATAAAAAGTGGGTTCATCCGCTATAGCTGACTCTGCGTATTAGATAAGATTGTATTGGATCCATCCAAAAGTTCGTCATCTCATCACCAATACTCAATGTTGCCTTGTGTCAACACTCAATTGTGAGATGCACGCTAAGGGTTCGGATCTAATTCTTTCTCCCATATTCTCATCTTCACTATTCGATCAACATGATTTAACATGTTGCTCCACTTGTTCTTATGAAAAGGCATCAGTATTAGAATCTCATAAAATTGATCTTTGGAGTTTCTGGTACTCGTATGATTCCTGCACCTGACTGTGGATCAAATCAACTGGACCCGTTATGATGCTATTAACTCTCCTTCGATGCTGAGTCAAAGGATATTGTATGCCGTTCGAGCTTCATGAGCTTGAAATAAAAAGCAAAAGAGTCAGATTCATAGTAAAGCAAACACAATAACTCTTCATGTTCACTTCGTCTAGGGGTCGTTTCATCCTCGTGGATGAGAAGGAAACCTTTAGGTTCTCCTTAATGGACTTTCTTAAGAAAGAAAGAGGTATAGCAGATATCTTCTTATAGCATAGCATCATCTGAGCCTAAGGTTGTTGTAGCAATGGAGCAAACCTATGATCACCATCTTTTGACATCGAGCATGGTTTCGTCGTTATCTTGGCGATGGAACCAATCGGTCATACGAGTATGTGCTCCACTTTACTAAGAAATCATGGTGCAAAAGATAACGATACTGTTTTGAGAAGGCTGAGATAGAGACATCGATATTATTTCTTCTCCAACTGAATGATTGATGTTGCACTTTCTTCCTTCACTGTTAAGGTTGGATATTATTATAATCTAAAATATTACATTATTTTATTTTGAGTTCGTTTATATACATATATATATATATATAATTTAAAATTACTTTACATTTCATATAATAAAATAGAATGGTAATACTAAATCATCATATCGCCAAATCTCACCATTGGGTGAAGGCCCTACCTAACATGTCAAAAGTCAGAAACCACAAGAAAGCCGCTTTACATATAAATGTTCAAATGATCCCATCTACAAACCTACAGGTTTGGATCAATAATTCACGTAACCCCGTCTAAATAATAAATCATGGTGTCTCGTCCACTCTTTTGTCTTACGATATGGTCGACATGATCTAATTTTCCTCATCGTTACGTCAGTTAAAGGACACGCAACCCACTCACGGCCTCGTAGAAGAGAAAGTTTATCTTAGCGTCTAGATTTAGACTTGGGATTAAGTTCCTTCAATCCATGTCACCTTTACATTATTATTTTAAGTTCTCATAAATTTACTTCTTTCGAAATTTATCTAATAAGCTTTTGGATCCTCAATAATTAATGAGCCAAGTATATTATAAATTTATATAATTACTTTTTAGCTTTAATTCTTAATTATAAATTTGTATATTATTACTGATTCGAATGACATTATCTAAAATCCTCCGACACACTTATGATATTAGTCTATGAAAATAGAAAACAAGACTCTTAATGACCAACAATCGTCAAAGAAAAATAGAAAAAAGAGAGTAATTCAACAGACAAACTTTATAAATTTTATTGCCAACATAAAAACAACTGATAAGCTATTCCTCAAGTTCACCATTAACGAGTGTCAAAGGGCTTGAGTGCCAATAGCGCTAACTTCTCTCCTTTGTTTTATAGACGGATAAAGCTCAAGAATAACCGAAGGAAGGAAGAATAGAGTCTTAGGTGCAATCAGTTACGCTATTTGCCTCGGAATCATAGAAAGCTTCACGTAATCATACAGAATACAGAGAGATCAAGCAGGGACGGATGTATCAATCGGCCGCCGGGAGATCGAGGCGAAGGCCGGCAGAGGCGAGGAGGGCACGGGCGGCGGAGAGCTGGTGGGAGAGAGTCTCGATGCGGAGGAGGTCCTCCCGGGCCTGCGCCACCGCCTCGGCCTCGAGCTCCCCCAGCTCAACGCAGAGTCGCTCCTCGGCTTCCTCGACCGCCCGCAGCCGCTCCTGGGTGCGCTCCAGATCGCCCCGCAGCGCCTCCTCCCGCTCCCTCCCCTCCCTCGCCGCCCTCTCCAGCTCCTCGTTCTGCCGCCTCAGCTCCGCCACCTCCAGCGCCGCCATGGGGTTGGTCTCTTCCGAAAAGGGGAGAAGGCCGTGGAGTTCGACTGTGCAGGTGTCGTCGGGCGAACAGTACGAGCTGCTGTTGTCTGCCGGAGTGGTGTCCAATGCTTTGGGAGGATTTTGGGGTCCCGTCCTCTTTATAGCCGAGGTTGCGTCCGGATTCAATGAACCAGAGCGCTCCGTGCAGCTACTTGGGTCACGCAACAAGCAGCGACTGGACGTACCGGGGGTGACCTTCTAAATGTACACCTCTGGTTCGCAACTCCAATCGTGCCTTAAGTGGCTCGGTGGTTATCAGCATATCCGTCCACCCGTCGCACCAACCGTTCCGTCTGTGCTAACGGGGACGACTTTTGCTCATCTTTAATCTTCCCATTCTATAATATTAAATCTCCCATTGCATTATATTTTTATATTAAAAATAATAGAATAATACAAGGGAAATTTATAATTATTAAATAATAAAAATAGTATAGTAATATGTAATTGTCAAAAAGGAGATCTATCCGAAAAATTCTTTTGCATAACTTGTGAAACAATTTAAAAAAATACTATTTGTTTATTAACTTCCTATTTATTTAACAAGCAATAAATACCGAAGTCAGATTTTCATTTTAGGATTATGTAATATTTGTTTGAGTTAGTTTTAGCATCAAATTCATTTATTGAATTTTATTTACTAGTGATTCAATCTTGCTTAGTTGATTTTCCATTTGTTCTAATTTGATGAGAAAAAAAATTATTGATGTCTTGATCAGTTCGACATGAGTTAGACTTGTATGTATAGGATTTTTCGAATTACTTCTGAAATGAAAATGTCGAGCTCCCGATATGTCATCTGTACGAAGACTAATGTAGAAAAAGGTTTCCCAACCCGATCTCTTCGATGCTCAAGTTAGTAACTCTAAGTATCTAAATACGGACGTGAGTAGTTTGAATAACGTAAGTCTTCTCTCATTAAGTTAAGAATACTTTTTTATACTTGATTGTGGAGACAGAATATTTTATGAAATATTTTGGGATGAAAAATACTTTGTAGAATAATTTTTGAAATCTTATCGAACGGATATATGGACTCTATATGTGTATTTTCTATCACAATCTTTTTTTTTTTTGAAGTTTCTTGAATCCAATCAAATAGTAGTAAAATCGGGCACACCATTTGGTTTTTTTGGTTACTACGGAATTAACTTTCGGTATTACGAAATTTAGATAAAAATCATTCTCCCATAAAATAAACCAAATCATGCTGCACACTTGACAATAAACAAGGAGGAAAAGCTACAAAGTCACCTGTGATGAGAATGCATGCGTGATGGTGATATATGGACATGCAGGTGGGCAAATAACTATGTTAATTTGATTGCGAAGGGTGCTTGTAGGTAAATATTTATAGCACACATAATATTGGATAAATGGCAAGAGAGGAGTGATGGATTGAAAAGTCATTCGTGTCCATCTAAAATTGCTCATCTAATAACAATATGATTAGATGATGATAATAATGATGATGGATTAGAGTGCTAATGGAGTCACTTGTATGGTATCCTACATGAAATTTGCATTAGGCCGGAAAAATAATTTAGTTTGGTACCCTCCTCCATATATTATTGCATAAGAAAGGTATAAAAGGTCCATCGAAAATTATTTGCTAACTATGATAGACGATATTTTCGAATAAAAATGTATCGTAAGTAAATTTGATATACTACTATAAAACATATGTTTGAGGTTTTAATAATTTGATGGATCCATCCTCGAACTATAATGAGTTTGATCAGTTTATAATTAGACTAATATTTTAAATTAAAATAGTTATTGGATAATTATTTTTCAATGATGGATATGATATATCGTCATTAAAAAAAAAAAAGATCATTTTGTCTGCCAAAGGCTTAACCCTTTATTGGTGACAAATGGGAGGCTTCCCATATTTCACTCCCTAAAAGTTGGTCATCTGCCAAAAGCTGTTCTCCTACTTTGTGACGAAGGCAAGAAGACAAATGGGAGGCTCGCCATATTCCACTCCCTAAGAATCGAAAGCTTTACTCTTACTTGGTGACAAATGGGAGGCTTGTTGCCGGATATGGCATCAGGAGGGGGGAGCTGCATTCAATTATTGGAGCGGGAAGGATTAGATTGGGTCGGCCATCGTCCCACTTGATCGATGCGTCCAAGCACGGCTACTGCTTGTGCACAGTCGACGATGTCGCCATTTCCCTTTCTCCCTTCCCGGCCTTGGAGCTGCCGCCGACCGATGGATTCTGTGCT